GGATATATATATTGCTTTGAGACTGAAGACAACAGTCAGTTGTTCATAAAAACATAGTCTACAGTGCAACAAAGATTTCTTCAGTAACATCATGCACTGACGGTCTATCTGGAAACAATAATCTGTCTGATTAAACCAACTATGACTTGAGATATCATTCCAGCGTGCAGTGAACGCATAGTGTAACGCAGTCGGACGTGGCGAATAAAAATTAAAAACAGAGCAGAATTAAGAACACAATCTAGTTATTTAATTAAAAATACATTATGGAATGACAAAATCTGTGGTTGCTTGAACGCACAGATGACCCTGGGCGATACATTAAGTTTACATGGTTGCGTTGCGGATAAATTCACCCGACCACGAGGTGTGACTTCGACGTTAGCTGGTCCGTCACGCTATTCCCGTCTATCCCGAGTAGGTCTCCGATCACTTGACATAGATCATCTACGTTGGTGACCTACAACTTTCTATAATGTATGTAAGTGATCTCCCAAATATAGTAGTCCCCAATGTTGCTATACGCTGACTATATAAAAATCTGACATCAAATAACGGGAGACGCAAATGCATGCGTGCTTCAAGCAGACTTAAATATTGTGATCAACTGGTCTACGGAGTGGCTGGTGCCCATCAACACGGCAAAGTGTGTCTACAGGCACTTTGGGGAAACAAAGGTAAACGGGTACAGCATAGGGGGAACGCTTGTACCCGTGGTCTGGTCTCACAAGGATTTTGGAGTGACAGTGGGTCATGATCTTAAGATCACGGCCCATCACCTGGTAGTCACAGCTAAAGGGTTTAAAACCCTTTGGGCTGTAAGACGAACATTGCCAAGTTAAATACCACCATGTTCAACACAGTATACACAACTTTAGTGAGAACTAGGCTTGTGAACTGCTGTAGGGCCAGTGAAATGTCACTGAGCCCTAGCCAAATCATCTGGCAGTTGGATCACTGGATGTCGAACAGATCATCGCTCCATGCCAAGGTCATGTACAAGCAACGCGCATTAGTTAATCGTACGCCATGGACTGGCCCATGCGGCAGTGGTCTTACTTTCGCTTGTATCTACCTTAACTAATATATTTCTGTGATAACGTCCTCTGTGTTGTACAGTCTTCAAAGCATCTATGGTACCGTGATACTTCAATGGGGTAGTCCACGTAAGGTGCTGACCACAAGGTGTGACTTCGACATTAGCTAGTTTGTCACACCATTCATGTCTAACTCGAGTAGGCCTCCAATCATTTCGAGATAGATCATCTACGTTGGTGATCTACACTGCGTTCAGGCTGCAAGCCCCTGTTCAAAAGGTGACTAGGATATCCTGAAAAAAGGGCAGAGGGCAGCTACCCGTGCAATTCCAGAGCTCTAGGGTTTACCATACCAAGAGCGGTTTAAAAAGCTAGACCTCTTTACTCTGTCCTATTGCAGATTAAGAGGTGATCTGATTCTGATGTATAGAATACTTGGAAATGATTTGGACCTCATGAATCCTTTCGTTTTTTTCTACCAGATTTAGACAACTCAGAGGACATGGTAGGCAAGTGTAAAAGGCAAGAATCAATAAAATATCCGTGGCATACAGGTTTTCTCATCGAACCTGTTATCCGAAGCAGTGGTGTCTTCACTTTCCACTAGCTCATTCGAAGGAAGATTGGACACTCACAAAAGCATAATAGTAAAGGAAAAACGTTGGCCGTATGGCCTCTGTCTTTACTAAAAACAACTGATTTGTGAATTTCATCCCGGAGGGAGTTTGGTCTCAAGGTTACTCGCGCAAGGTAATTTCGCAGAAATTGCATTTTTTTGATACCTAGGCAAACAAAATGAGGGAAGTAAAGGCGAACTGTGTTCGAATTTCGGTGAAAGTGTATAAGTATAGTCAGTGTGAATATTAGTGACGAGTCATCAAAATGTCGCACTTTTCACCAGTCCGGGATAAATAGTGTGTACACACATTCTGATGCGTTTTCCCCCTTCGCTACCAAAGGATTTACCCCTTTATTTCCCCTTTCTTCGCCTTTATTTCCCCTTTTTGTGTTGCCTGGGGTATTTTCCCCAATGAGAGAACTTTCGAAATTAACGATTTTGCCTCCCCCGAAGCCAACTCAATCTGTCCATTCTTTCCCGAAATTAACCCTGATTTGTATTTTTGATCTAAATTACCCTCAATTCGTCTACTTCCCCCAAAAATTTACTCTAAACTGTCAAATCTTACAAGTGAAATAGTTAAATTTTAGCTGAACTTAGTGCTCTAGTATACTACATGGTTCGGAGGTTCGCCTTTAATTCCGTAGATCAGACAAATCATATGCGTGCTCGACAATAATCAACATAGTGGTTTAAATGGGAACGATTTGTTAACATTTTTCACATATACAGTTGTCAGGAACATTGACGTAGAAAAAAATTAGTGAAACACCTACATTAAAAATGACAAAAGAATTGTCTTCGATGGTAATTTTAAAAAGTTAGTGAGATTTTTACGCGCATATACGAAAGCTTAATCCATACGAGGTACTCATATGCATTAACGTTTATTTTCGACATCCAGTTAGTTTCAGTGTACTCGGCCAAAGTGAGTTTATTATGAGCTTAAGGAGTTTTCATTTAACATAAAGGTTTTTACACTAGGGGTTACGTGCACAGTAACAGGGTTTTCAGTGACAAACGGAATTTTCATCACTTGAATTTTAAAACAGAACAGCAGTTGACAGTTATCAATGTTTTTGTAAAATGCTTTTCATGCATTTGTTATTCGATGCCCTGAAACTTACAGTTATATTGCAAAGGGCAGATGATGGGATCCAAAAAACGAAAAGAAAATGTTCGGTTACAAAATCGCACTTAATCTTCCTTTTAATGATAACGCCTGTCCACTTTATCTCTCTTTTCTTACAAAAAAAACCTTGTGTAGCCACGTCGTTCACCTTCGCAAGATCTTTTTCGCTGACCTTGATAAATAGAACTTGTGATGTTAATGCACCTTTTTAATAACATAAACTTGAATGTAGTCCTACATCATATAGTGTTATAGAATCTGTACTTTATAATGTCCCGTTTTGTATCAGTACCTATCAATGTGAAGTTCATTGCTAATTCTGGTTTGATCAGGTGTAATAGTAAAGATTTGAGGGACGTTTTCGGATAGTGATCATTGCCCTATAAATAGTACACAGATTGTAAACTAAATCAGTTTACTTACAAATTTATCCCTTGTAGATTCTTACTGAATTAGCACACCTGAAGGTTACAGTTCATACTCAGTTAACAAAGGGAACTGTAAGCTGGCTAATTCCCCGCCAAATTGTTTTGACTGGTAATTTGTTGCTGGTGTTTTCAACAATAGCACTATTTGCCTCATATTTACGGACAACACAATCTCGGTTGACAGTTTTTTCATGTTTGTATATATCTTTGATGATCTACAAGACTTCAGAAAGTTCCAAGTAAAACTTACTGGTCACAGATTGCAGTGTTATCGAGTGTTCAGACAGCGGCTGACAACAACAACTCTACTTCCATTGGACTTATTCACGGACAGTTATAGAGATCACAGACTTACTTGGTAATTGAGAAAGTTAAGGTTTCGAACAGCCTAAATTTGAATACTCGACCTGGCTGTATCCTGTTTACATTCCACCGAAATCCAAAAAGTCGTATAAGTAATTTGACTGGTGCTTAAATACAATGGTAGAAAATCAGAAACTGTAATTGATTTACCGTTTGGGTTTTTCTGAGTACATTGGTGCGGTGTTTTCATCCTGCGAGTGACAATATCCGATTTTATTGTTGAAGGGTTTGACCAAGTCTGAAGCACATCTGAAATCATCTACAAGGAAACAATTAATCCTCCTTACTAACCAAAGTAGTGAATAGCTGCACATTTTACAGTGGACTAACTGTCGTTCGGATCCACGTTGTTTATAATCACCATGTCCGCTGAAGTGGTCGGATACATGCATAGTTTTTGATCTACTAGCCACTTGATAGCTACGGCTAGAACCTCTCTACTAACAAAGGCGTTTTCAACTACAAACTTTTTAAGTGTAGGCTAAAACAAATTTCAAAAAAGCATTTTATGATTACATTTTCAGGCTTAAATGATGTAAACCTAGTATTCCTACAAGTTATTACCTGTTTTTGCGTCATAGTTAACTGAATTTTTGTCATTCATGGCGAGATTACTGCCTTTCGACCTACTAATAACTGATTTCTCAGTGTACCACTGAATAGCTTGTTTGGCTGCAACGTATCAGCAATATATGATCCTTTTGATCTGACGTATATAGGGCTCAAAAAGAAATGAAGAATATATGTCCAACACATTACGTAGATTGACGTCATCAGCAATGTGCTTAAGTAAATAAATTTTGTAAATTAAATGCCCTGCATCGTAGTACCACTTATATCCTACAAGGAAATTACTTCATAACAGACTTAACCGAACTGCTACATGACTTAGGATGAGGTAAGGAATAAGTAGCTAACTGTAGGAAATTTAGATAAGAAGGCAAGGTAGAACATTTTTTAGTGTAGTCAGACTTAAATACAGGAGAAATAAACAACATTCTGTTGCTTTCCAAATAGATACATACTCTAAATTTTTCAACACACTGCAACAGTAGTTCACTTATAGTCGTGATGGCAGTCTTTGTCATGCTTTTAAGTTTCTTATGTGATAAATCGAGTCATAAAGTTATCAGCTTTTTGATGACACCCATGTATACTAATTATATAACATCTACAGAGAAGGCGTGTAATATGCTAATACCTATTTCTAAGTCTGAAATTCCACGATGGTGAGTGGCTTGACTCTGTTGAAAAAACTTACTGTTATTACTTTCTGTTTTTCAGGTTATCCATTTTCTTCTTTTGGAATGATATCACTACTACTTACGGACTACTCATCTATCATTTACACTCGTGAATTTTCTACAATAACCACTTCCAATTCATAAGAAAATATTATTGAAGAACGAGTATTTGACTAAATGGTATGTCGTATTTGATGTAGATAAAGTAAAAATAAAAATAAAATAATACATAAGCACTTGATAAATTGAGTAATTATGAGAGATATGTATCTTCACATAATTGTCGTATGTATGCACAGATTTGTGTTTGCTAGCCTAACATGGTACAGTATTGTTGTAGTTTGTAACTATCTAGCCTATTTACAAAATAGTATAATATTGGTGTCACTTAATCATCCATTCTTCTACAAGCTTGAGTTTAGTGTACTATTCTGGTCTTTTGGAACATCATATGATGACATGAGCAATTCAAGAGAACTGCAATTGATGAAACGAGGAATTTGTGCAGATTGTTCTTAACATCACGTGTCATTTCAAATTGCTTACCTCACACATGTAATAGATACATATAAACCTTTAGGGGGTTCTTTATTATGTTTAACAATGTTGGACATTTTGTGGTCTCTGGGCTGGATGGTCTGGTTTTAATGCTTCGATTGTTCCTCTTAACAACATCAGTACACACTCCAAAGAGAAGGAAGCGGCTAGAGTTTCCCCACAGCTGGCTAACAATTTGTTCTGTTGACCTGGAATTCGGTTGGTTGTTATCCAGTTGTAGGTAATTTCTAATAGCTCACTTTTCTTTGAGGTACGTGCTGATGGTGTTCAGAAGAACAATAAATACTTTACAACCAAACTATCTAGCTCAAAGTTCACAACACCACTGTCCTCACCTTGAGCTACAAATATGATGGTTTCACACAACTGTGTATCCAAAAGTTTTTCATTAACTTGAATTAGTTTCTGGGAAAATGCGGTCGTTACCAACTTCACTCCTAATGCTTGTGATCAAGTTTGGTAACATCTTAAAGGCCCTATATACAAACACCTCAGGTAGAGTGAGGGCATACAACCACCTTTCTCCATTGTTCCATTCGAGCAGTGGGGTTACACAGGGCTGCTCAATCTCACCATCCCTCTTCAACTTTGCCATCGACGACATTCTGGAAACAGTTCTGATGAATGTAAGTAATGGCGGTGTGGATCTGTTGCCTGGAGAAAGACTTCTCGACCTTGAGTATGCGGATGATATTGTCTTACTGTGCGATAATGCCCAAGGCATGCAATTCGCACTTAATCAGTTGACAATCAATGTCTGTAGGTGCGGTATGTGGTTTGTACCTTCGATGTGCAAAGTGCTCCTACAAGACTGGCAGGATCCTATTCCTGTACTCACCCTGGATGGTGAGCAGATAGAAGTAGTCGAGAAGTTCGTGTATCTGGGTAGCTGCATAAGTGTTGTTGGTGGCGTGAGTGATGAGATCAATGCACGTATAGTGAAGCCAGAGAGGCTTATGTCAATCCGGGCCATCTTTGGCGTCTTCGTGATGTTAGTCTGGCTGTAAAAGGTCGGATCTACAACGCGTCGGTGAGAGCAGTTCTGCTCTATGCTTGTGAAACCTGGCCTCTCCGAGTTGAGGATGTTAGACGGCTCTCTGTGCTTGATCATCGTTGTCTCTGGAGGATTTCTGACATCCAGTGGCAACACCATGTTAGTAATGCAGAGGTTCGGCATCGTGTGTTTGGGCACAAAGACGATAATGCAATCGGTGTCACCATCTTGAAACACCGACTTCGGTGGCTTGGACATGTTTTACGAATGCCGTCCCAGAGAATTCCACGTCGTACATTATTTGTAAGAAGCGGAGAGGTGTTCAGTGTATGACATGGTGTCGTGGTATGAAAGAAAGCTGCAAAGAGCTGGTTTGTGTTGGTCCTTTACGACTCCCTGGCTGGGGTCCGAGAGATGGTGCAACACAGTGGCTAGAGACGTTGTAAGATATAGCTCAGAATAGAAGCCAGTGGCGATCCTGCTGTAACCTTCTTTTACTTTATAAAAAGTGGTTGTATCTTCCTTAACTGGAAGATTTCTTCTGATTGTACCTTTCCGTTCCCCCATTATTATTACACTACCTTACACTAGTCTGGTCGTTATTGTTCTTTCTTTTCTTTTACGCTCCTTACCTTTTTTCTCTTCCGATTCTCATTGTTTTGTGTGGCGCATATATATTTGGTGCCCTCTTGTACCAATATTTATGTGTTCAAATAAAATAAACCCTTTCATTTGCATATGACTACTTGTATGTGTTTGAATGTCTGATTGGATTAATTTCCTGGATTTGTTAATTCGGAAAGCATACATAATTTCACTTATTCCATTCTGTTCCAATACATTTCTAAATAATACCTATTCTAATTCAATCCATTACTGCTTTGCCCAAGTGTTTGTCTAGCTGTCAAAAAAACAAGTTTGATATTACTTCAGTTGTTTTTTCGTTATGTTAATAAACCTGTGAATATCGTTGGAGTATGAGCGCGATTATTAGTTCGAATTCGTACAAATAACCAACCAATTATGTAAAGGTTTTCGAATAACTAAACTGAAACGACTAGATTTTATACTTAACAACTATGTTACTTCTCAACCTTATCAATAGTTTCAGTGTTGCTTAAAATTAGAATACCTTAATCGTACTCTTTGTTATCCCATAACTTGATAATATTTTGGTCCCTACAGTCAACTGAAAGCGATTCCTATTCGAATCTTACATATGGATAATATGATCTAATTTTGAATATTTTAATGAGATTAATCATTAAGAGTTATTTTTGATGAAGGGTTGTCGGGTTAATTGTTAACTTCCATCCTTTTGGTTAATCCAACGAAAATTAACTGCATAGATTTCTGGAAAGTGACATTTTTCTCCCTTTTAAGTTTTAATGTCTGATTTTTTTTGCCTTATAGTTATTTACAACGAAAATACCAAGTCGAATAATCATATCATTGGGTTGTTTCTTTCTAGTTCACTATATTTTTGGACATTCGTTATCTGACGTCGTTCAAAACGTCTATGTAAATGCTTCTCATCCATCTGTATCACTATTCCCAGCTTCCAACTTATCTTCACCTAAAAATGAGCCGAGTACAAATCAGACCACGCAAGCTAAATGGCAGCATTTATGTCCATATATGAAGTACAAGTGTAGTGAGTTACCAGGTTATTGTCTTATGTGCAATTTCAATACTTCATGTGTTTATGGCGCGGTAGTCAATGTTACTTGCTTCCCCCGTCCAGGAGTTTATTGCAAAGATTCAGGTGGTATAGCTCAAGAAAACCAAACTTCTCAAACTAATTCATCAGACTTTTCTTATCCGATGAATGATCAAACAAATTACCTAATTCAAAAACCGATTGTGTGTCGATTTTGCCACCAGTTAGGTGATACTGAGATTGTTTGTATCGGTCGAACTAATTGTCGTCAACCTAATGTACCTCGGAGTTTTTATGAAACGAAATGTGAACCATTTCCTCATATACTATGCCTAGGACGAAGAGTATTCAGGCGTATGGTGCCTTGTGATTGGTCTTCTGGTAAAAGTTATGTACTAACTGTTATCTTAAGTTTATTTTTCGGTGGTTTGGGAGTTGATCGTTTTTATTTGGGCATGTGGATAGAAGGATTAGGCAAATTGTTTAGCTTCGGTGGTCTTGGTTTATGGAGTATCGTTGATTTTATCTTAATTGTATCCGGATATGTAAAGCCTCCTGGAGATGCTGTATACTGGTGATATAATAGGACGCAACAGTGATGTAAATCACCCATATAATTCAAGGTAATTTATACTTTTTACTACTTCCAATAATTTCAACAACTATCTCGTGCTTTAATTCTTCCTCTCTCCTATATATAACTGTGTCCTTCAAGTGTTAGTTTCTAGTACTTGAACATATTTTAATAACTTGTATATTTTTCATGTATTTGTTTCTGTTTCTTCTGAAAATGTAATCTTAAATCTTTTTTTTTGCAAATGTTCATGGTTATCCTAATAATTTTTCATTTTAGTCAGATGATATTGTTTGTCGATAGTTTTCAATCAAAATATTTTCTTTCAAAAATTTTGTCTTTAGCGGTATTAATTCAATTAACACTGTTCGATTTAGTGATAAACAGATTATCTATCATTATGGTTATAATATTATATCTATGTAACATCAATACGACAATTTAATTAACACTAGTCATCAATTGCTTACTTAATCTAAATTGCATTTGTTTATTGTTCCTAAGATTCCTCCTGTATCGTTGCACTCTAGGTGTTGCGTATAAAAAAAGTACTCTAACAAATTAAACTTACAAAACCATTATAGTGGATTTGTTGTGCTAATAAGGTATGGCAACTTGGAATGATGCATATATGTGTCTGGTCATATGTTGTAGCTGACTAACTGACTATAATGAATTTCCCTCTACATAGGACAGTGATAAACATTTATGGTGACTTACAGAAATTCTCCAATCACCCATTTTTACTAACAGCCTAAATGAGCGATTGATATTCAGTCGTCAACTCTCAATAAAGTTAAAGATATCAAGACTTGGGGCATAAAAAGCTACAAGTTCTGATAGATCATTTTCAGAGGTTTTAAGCAAGGTAGTTCAGAATTATTATATATGCTGACTGAGATATTGGTTATAATGTCTCCGTAAGATGTAGTTTCACTTAATCTAATTCTTCCGTTTTGTAGAGAGTGACCTAGATCCTCTTGTGATAGTTTTGAAAAAAAACCACATTGAAAATGATAAATATTGAAGCTTACAATAAAACGAAGTTAATACTTCATAGGTTGGAACTTCTAGGACTGTCATATTATAAACTATTATTCCTATTTTGACCATAGAGTTATTAAATAATTGTTTAACAGTATTTCTATATTATCCTATTTATAAGCTTTCGCTTAATGTCTAAACTGTTGATATGCATTTGACTATTCCTAACTTATTATTGACTAATTATTTCACCCTTTCCTTTATTACTTCGATCTTGACTGTAGACAAACGATAGTCTCTTTACAACGTAATGACATCTGGTAATCCGTATATTTAGAATATAACAATAAATTTGCCAGCTCACTGTGATCCTACTCCGGACTGAATACTCGGATAGGATAAGGGGTGCAACCTGAACTCATCCGCGTTAAGATTATCTCAGTCACTGTTCAAGAATAATTATTGTTGGTCAAAGCGTACCATTAGTTAAAGCTTAAGTTCCTGGTTTATAGGCAAACGCGTACTCGGATTAGATTATAGACTGGATTCATATTGGTAGGATCGTATCTGGTGTTTTAATTCAAGAACATATAGCAAGGTTCAATACCTAATTGTTGCAGTGTCGCAAATCTTTTACTTTTTGTTTACTTATCGTGCTAGAGACACGTAAAACAAACAAAATATTATACTGTTAAGTCAAGGTTCCAACAGATTGCAGTGTGCTATACACCTTAAGTGATAATGAGTGGTTGTTCAAAGTATCTTTCTCATGATTGGTTCCCATCAATGCGTAATCTTATTGAGTAAGAGTTGTTACGTAAGTTTTCTGGTCACTGCTTTTCTCGATAGATAAAAAGCTTAACTGTCTGTAAAATTATTATTTTGTGCAACAATTCATTTTGTCGTACTTCATGATCGCGAAGTATTATGTATCTCAAATTCAGACATACGTTTTCTAAATATTTCTCTCCAGTAATGGAGTGACCGAATAAACTATTGATTTCAGGCATGGAGAGCCAGGTATGATATTACAAAATTTAGTCAAATGATATAGTTGGTGAGTTCGTTTACTATCACACTTAGCTAAATTTATCAGCATCTAAACTTACTGTTCAATTATCATATTGTTGATCAAGATATAGATAAATTCCGTAAGCAGAGATTACTTACTCACTCACTGGTGTTAATTATTCAGTATCTGGAAACCTAAGTGTTAATGATATAAGTAGAACCAATTAGTAATAGAATTTATGATCGTATTTAGTTAGTATTCTATGAAAGTAGCTTGTGTCAACGTAAAAGTTAATTCCGTACGATTAACGTGAACTCACCCTTTCAAAGTGTAGTAAATAACACTAAAATATAATTTATATGTAGAAGAAAAATGTAATCCACTTTGAAAAAAGATTGATTTATGCTCTTTTGATAGACGATTGTTCTTTAATGTATATTTCGACTAAAAATGATTTCAGTGTTGTCATTTTCTCCGATGTAGATCGTTCAATGATGAAGTTTTTTTAATAGTTAACTTAATGCGGCAAACTTTTTAAGTGAATATGGATTAAAATCGAAGTAAAAAAACGAATCATGTGCATCGAGTGATGTGATGTATGTGAAATATTGTTATGAATATTACAAAACAACTGTCAACCTCACACGATATTTACCATTCAATAGGAAAATTCGTCATAAAATAATGAATTATGTACATACACAAAAATATTGTTTATTATTTTCTGTTAGTTATACTTATGAGTATTACTGTTGCTGGGAGTTCTAAATATTCTTTTTTTTTATATAGAAGATTGGAATTCTTAATTTTGTAATTTTACACAATGTTTAGAAAAGTTCTCGTCATATTGACAATTTCCTTGTCAGTATTGTTTAGAGAATTTAGTTTCTCCTCCTTTCTCTATAAACAAGTTGGATCACAAGTACAATAAAAGCTTAATGATCTATCAATAGAAATCCCATTGAAAAAGAATTCAAAATCTCATCATTGAAATTGCTGTGCAAGGTTTGTCAATTTGTTAGCCCAACCCACTGAGCTTAAGTGTTGTGACCTACCTGCTATACTCATGATGGCTTTCAAAGTCGGAACAGATGAAGAAACCTCAACTATGAATATTGAATCTACTAAATGCTCAAATAGTGTACAATATTTCATGTAACTGGCTCTTTATCTTATTACAGCAGGGCTACAAAAAGGAATTCCTTTCTGGATTTTCTATATAAATATGTATTCTACTTACAATTTTTAAGTAGCTACTTTTTACTGTAAAAATATTAATTGTAAGTCATTTTACGCGTTGATTATTTTGAGTGATTGGATTCATCAGAGTGGATATACGTACCCTGGATCAAGAAGGTACAAGTATTTATAAACAGTTGTTTACGCAAGGTACTTAATGTCCGATAACCGGATACCATCAGAAACAGCCTACTGTGGGAGAGGATAAACCAGCTTCCAGTTGAAGAGGGAATTAGGAAAAGACAATGAAGGTGGATAGGACATATATTGAGGAAATCATCAAACTGCATCACGAGTCAAGTCCCAACATAGAATCGTGAAGGGAAACGATAAATAGGAAGGCTGAAGAACACATTACGTCGGGAATTGGAAGCAGACATGAAAAGGGTGGATAACAACTGGAAAGGATTTCCCAGGACAGGGTTGGATAGTGAGTGCTGGTGAGTAGTGGCCTATATTCTTTCACGAGGGGTAACAGGCGTAAGTAAGTATATGAGTTTTCATTTTGTTTGCGGCTAATCCAACACTTAAATGTGAATGTTTTTATTTATTTCCAGTTACTACAAACTACATTTGTTCTGAACCGTGATTTATTATAACATAATTAACAATATTCCAAACTATCTGTTCCTGTAGACTATGTAATATCAGTTGACATAATAAATCCATTCCATTGTAAAGTAATAGCAAACAACGTTACTATCACTTTCAAAGAAAAGTAACAAAAATCAATGATAAATCAAATTCACATTATAGAAACATGTAGTAATGAAAAAAACTCTTATAAGTGTTCTGTCAGCATTACCTTTCATTGTGGTAGCTGGTGACCTAAGCATAACACCCTTCTTCAACTCGATCAGTGACATAGTGTGATCTTCATACTATATTATCAAAGGGATATTGTTTCGCTTCATATTCCGTTTTTACCATAGGTCATAGCTCCTCACTTGAAAGTTAATAAATTCACCTTAAATCTAGTTAGTGGAAAGTAGCCCGAGTTCGACCTAGTTTGGAATAGTAGAGGTGAGCCAATGTAAAGTTTTGTACTAGAATGAAATAGCCATTTAGTTTTTCCTGGTTTTTCCACTTGATAATAAAACTTGAACTTCCTTCAAACTATACAAACTCGTTAAAGAAACTGATTATACTTATTGCCTGCTTTTATTTCTATAGTTAACATAATTCTCTGTAATTTCAAAAAAAATTTATTATAACTATTAATTTTTCGAATTATAATCAAAGTAATTAAATTAACTAATCTATAGTCATTCATTTATAGTGAAAATTAATTCATTAGAGAAATATAATTTTCATACTTAATCATAGAAGGAGTCCCATACTAGGACAAAACGGCCGTCCAGTGCTTCCAGGTTTTCCATGGTTATCCAGCTTTAATCGACTCATGAATTCAACTATTCAATTACTACAGTCTCCACAAAACCCCCTTTCTGATTTAATCATAGTGCTTATATTTCCACTTGGGTGATTTTTTCTAAATAAGTTTATTTTTTTTTACTAATAAATCTTAGCAATTTGTTGATAACTGGAAAAAAAGTTAAAATAAAACAATGACAACATACTATCAAACATGTAAAGTAAAGTAAATCAATTTGGGATAATGGGTAGTAATTTTCCAATGCAATCAGTAGTAGCTGCGTCATATTTGACATGGTTCCATCTTACACGCTACAGCTTCTAATTAGAGTTCTAAGAATTACTCTTAGTCGCTGAAAAATCCCCATTATATTAAAACACAATTGTATGAATAAAGAATATTCTTTTCAATAATTTCTCCTCACGTTCTACAATTATCTCATATCCAAATTAATAATCCATAAAATTGGCCAGATTTAAGGCAGAGTACATCATTTGGAA